GTGACTCTGGATGACCCTCCACATACAACAACAACATAATTTGAGCTTGAAGGAGCTGCTGTTGGATTATTAGGTTTGTCATTGTTGGGATTCAATTAGTCCTGCATTATTTATGTAAGACCAATGCAAAGAGGCTCCAGCTGGGACTGAGCCTCCATTTTACTAAGTATTGGGAGACAGTTTCTTTCTCAAAAGGGGCTTGCAGTTTCAGCTGACGATATGCAGACAGAGGGGAAACAGGGGCATGAAGATGTGATTTTATTATGGTTGCACAGAAATACAGCCAGCAGGCAGAGACTAATTCTAAATGACACTTTAATATTAGCTGGTATCCAGTTAAAACATAACCACATGCCCTTCCTTGATTAAAATAGAAGAAAGGCTATTTTAGACTTATAAAATAAACAAAAAGTCATATATAATAATGACAAGAAAATCTATTTAGAGATACAGAAATGTTGCACTTTGGAAGCTAGAGGAATGGAGAAAAATATTTTACCACCAGAATTGGAAAACTTCTTAATTTTTACTTCCCCACTGTGCCATTGTCCTGTACTGTTTGTAACTGATGCATGCTTTGCTTTACGTTAAGGAAAAGTAGACAGACTGAAGTCTTATCTTAGAATCTATACATCTTATAATAATAGTTTTCACCACAAATACCACACTATAAACTGCTCAATATAGAACTGGATTTTAGCTGCCCTTGTACTTACCTTTAGAATTAAAGCTTCCTCTTCCAAAATCTTGTTTGATGCCAGCTCAGATGCTAGACTGGTTTGCAGTGCTTGGCCTGACTCACACTTCTTATCAATTCCTCGAATTATCAGAGCTCTCAGAGACCCTCCTGAAGCCCAGGGGGGAAGACCTGGGCACTGTAATGGACAAATATCTGCCTCAGTGTCTTACGGTAGAAACTGGATTCCCTAGAGCTGGGGAATCGTCTCTAGCAGGCATATAATATCTAACATCCTCTGCACCTCAGGATGGAAGAACTCACAGGAGTTTTGATTCAGCTTTTGTTAACACTTATGCTCTTTATCATTCTATTACCAATAATGTTATTTTGCAGACAACAAGAGTAATTTTGTCTAAGTTCTACAGGACCTGTACTGCATGGAGAAGATGCTGGCAACGTTTCTGATACTGTGCTTTATACCAACACAATGAATACATCTCTTCAAAGCAGGACACAGTAGTTATTCGACTCTAATGTGCCCACCAGATTTTCTAATCAACAGGTGTTTTTCTACTTGCCAATCCACAATGTCAAGAATTCCTCCTTCTCAGAAGCATTTGTTTTCTGAAACAATTGCATCTGGACTCTTTCAACATAGATACCACAGATTTTCCCATTCCACTGAATGTTGAACTAGAAAAGACATATGGACTAAAGCAAATGCAGTCTTGTTTGTCTGGTTTCTGTTATTGACTTCCTTCATACAAAGTACCAATTGTTAAATGAAAAGAAAAAAAATAGAAAAAAAATAGGTATTTACCTGTATCACTCCTTTTCACAGTTTTTTAATTCAAATATTTTAATAAAAGCTTCCAACAGATAAAAAAGTTATGTCTTAATCTGCTCCTTCTCCTATTTATTCAAGGCACTTCTTTTTATTTCTCAGCTGCTGGGCTACAAATTTTCTTTTGCATCAGCCCAAGGTATTTGTATCATTTGTACAACTTACTTGTGAAGCACTTCTCTTACACTTCCTGGTTACAGAGTTAATAAAGATGGGGTTGGTTTCTAGTTCTTTTAAGGTTGATTATGTGTATAGCATGTGTGTGTATATATATATATGTATATATAACAGTATATATATGCATACATATATGTGTGCATGTACGTGTATGCTACACGTCCACAGCAACACAACAAACAGATATATTGGCATCAACACATTTAAATTTTAATACAACTGAATTTTTATTTGCCTTTTAAAAGTCTGTTTATACAAACTCAATAACTCAAACTCCTCTCACTCCAAATAAAGAAAACCAAAACCATATCATTCTATCACATGGCTTCAGAAGTCCCCATATTGATTTCTATAAATAAATAAATCAGATCTGTTTTAGAATTCCTAGCACAAACAAGGGGTCTTCACTACTTCAGCAGCCCTTTACTTTAGGACAAAGTATTGCCTTTATCTGATATTACTTTCTTCCTTAACTGAAAATTTGCCCCAGAAGAGAAACTTGTTTTCCAATTAGTTAAAGGCATTATTTACATGACCAATGTTAAATACCTGTATGGCCAGCATGTCTGCCTTTACCAAATCCAACTGAAATCAATGTGCTTCCTCTGCAATGAGCAATTTGCTATTTTCTGGTTTTATCCTGAAAGGTGACCAAGAGATAACACTGATGTCTGCAAGCCGGAGTGCCTGACTGACCCAGTTGAAATGCAAATATATATCCTACTGCACTCTAGGGAAAACATTCCAAATTGACAAGGCAAATCATCTGAAGATCCTAACAAGCAATTAGACAGAAACAATGATATCAGAAGTATCAGTCTCTTTGTAATAAGCTATTTTCACTCACATGAGAATTTTAATTGTGGTATGTCCAAGTACAAAACTGAAGTACAATCTCTACCCACACACAGTTTCACTATACAAAATTAATCTATTTTTCTAATGTTGTACAGGCAGCTAATTAATTGTAGACCACGTACCTGTCACAAAATTAACAAAATGCTTTTATGCAGGTAGTAAACACTGCTTGCTGAGAATATTACTCTATTCAGAAGACAGTGTTTGAACTGAATACCTGTAGGAAAATTCCATTTCTCTTACAAAGAGACCAGTGACCTCACTGAATAAGAAGTTCACTGTGCCTGTCACAAAAGCTCTCAACTAGGATGAGAAGCACACTTTACAACCAACAGATACACAGGCTGAGAATACACTAACCTGATGGCAGCCATGATAAATTACTGACAACTATGCTCCTGAAGCTGAGAAAAAATTACCTAAGTATCAGTCATGCAATCGATAGTTTAATATTCAGTGACATCAGTACTCATCTGAATGAGGCAATTCAAGAAATAATGAGGCTGCTTAAGAGCCATTTCAGCAGGAATATATACTCCACTCCTTTGACCAGAGCAGTGTCACGCTGCTTTGCACAACCAAGTGACCACCAGCTGTTCAAGCAGCAGCAGGTTTTGGATGAAGCACTGCCCTGTCATGTCCTTGCTTCTGCTGATGTGTTTTTATGAAAACCTCTGAGACTTACCATCCAACTTCAGCCTTTGCCATCATTTAGCAATGAAAAGGGCTACGAAGGGGCCTGGACAGCTAACATGCTCCGCAGGCACACAGGGGATGGACACATAGGGCACAGTCGAGCAGGAAAATGGGCAACTGGTTGACTTGTATGTAAATTCAGGGGCAAGCCAAGTTCCTGCTTTCTGCCTCTGGTCACAGACTCACATGGTTTAAGTGTGTGTAACCGGCTACTTAAGTGAAATTCAGCCTATTTCAAGATTAAAGGAAAGCAATTTTTAAGAACAATGAAGCAAGGCTGGAAACATTAAGCTACCGCAGCAAGAGAAACTCACAAGATAGTTGGGAAATCTTAACAGGGACTTTGAAGTGTGTAATATGGATACTGCTATTTAACCTTGAGGAGAAAAAAAATAAACCCAGTTAAAAGGACTGAAATAATTTCAGCTGCTTTGAGACCTTAGAGCAAAGCAGAACTATGAACTTCTGAGTTAAAAGTTAGCACTAACATACTTTGTCTTTTACATTTACTACTTATTATTTGCAGTACAACTTTAAAGTCTTAACATGTAACTCCGGTACTCATATTTTCCTTTAATTTACTAGGGTTTGGTAATAGCACCAAAACATTTTCTTCTCAGCTCAGCATCACCAACCTGCCAGCAGAATTTTCAGCACACTGAGACTAGCCCACTGAAAGTTGTTGCAGCAAAAGGAACTTCTGATGTGTTAGAGGTCCTGTGGTACTGAGGGCACAGAACAAGGCACACCAACGCACACAGAAACAGGATGAAATTGATGCACCAGCTAATTCAGGCTTTTTAACAGAAAAGGCAAGTTTGCAATGAAAATCTCAGTGCCCTTATCAAATATCTGACTAGACTCAAATGCCTGAATAAGTTTATGAGGTAATTACAAAATCCAAAGTGAGACATTTGTATATCTACAACACTGAAAGCCTAAACCCACAAAACTTAAATAAACCCTCACCCAAACCCTTTAGAGCTTTGCCATTCATAAGACCATTACTATTTACCAAAGCTCCATCTGTCTTTCCAAGTTCTGGCACTGCCTATAGGTCTGGCATTGCATCTGCTGGGAGTCTTGGTGTCAGCTTCCTGCCCAAAGCCTGCACCAGATGTCAACAGGCACCCCTAATTCCCTAGGGTGTATCTAACAAGGAAGTTTGGCAAACCTTTTAAGTACTCTAGATGCTGGAGATCAAAAGATGCATTTCAATTGAAATATCCATTTTCTCACTGTTTACAACACTGTGCAAGTTAAAAGTTCTTTTTCTGTGTGAAGCTCCTACTACAACCTAAAGAACCTTTGTGTTCTATGTCTTAATTAAAAAAACAAATCTTCAGATATCTTCTCATGTATGTAGGCAATGCTGTGCAGCACTGTAGCCTTGTACTTGAAAATGTGTATCTTCCTGTGAACTTTAAGCTTCACACTATTGCAATTTCGACCAAATAATGACACACTCACTCCTACAGAGAATTCTGTCAGTTATGCCAAGAAACAGGGTCGCATGTTATTAAATTAAAATTGTGGAAAGAACCAAGGAGCGGACAGCTGATCCAGACCTCTGAATCGTGATTCATCCAAAGGATACTATCAGGAGTATACAGTTTTGTGGCTCCATGAATTGTTTCCAAAATAGCAAGACAAGTGTTTCAGTAATCCCACCCATGTCTGGATCTAAATAATAGCAAGATAAAAAAATAACCACAAATAGACAACACAATTACAAAATAACCCAGTTTTTATTTCAGTAAAGAAACTATACTCAATCCTAGAAGAAATAAGTTTCATATATAGCATCTGGCCATAGAAAACTGCATGTACACCACAAGACAATAATATATTACAAAAAGTGACTTTTTGAAGAAAAAACAAAACACTTTTAAATTGTTTTCTCTCTTGAGAATTCAGAATTTATTTTCATGCCTATGTTTTCTATACAGAGTGGAGCAAGCCAAAATATCTAGCACATATTATGGAGGATAACGAAGCACATATTAGAAAGTCTAGACACCTGCAGAACTAGCTAGCAGTTAAAGAGGACAGGTTCTTTTAGACTTGATTGTATCAATTCTGAACCAAGAACCACTTATCTTTTTTGTAAAATGCAGTACTATAATCTTGCAAAGCTCCAACAAAGAGGCAGTCTATGCTGACTTGTTTAACTATCTTTTCCTTTCTATCTTCTTTGCAGAACATTGCTTTATTGCAGTGTCTTGGGTCAAGGTGGCTGTTTAAAGTTGAGCTGTTGCCTGGATTTTTCAAAAAACATATATATTACAATCATATATACACTACTTCTGTTGCAGCATCTATGATTTCTTGTCTAAGATAGCACACTTGATTAACATCAGTGCATTTGATCTCATAAGATAGTAACAATAAGCATCTTGTGTAAATTTATAGATTCCGTAAAAGGTTAGGAGTGCATTCTCATGATCCACTTTTCAAAGTTACAGATTTTCAAATCAAATGGTACTGGTCTCTTGTCACACAACTGTAAATTGTCTTGAACACAGTTCTGCCCCCTGAAGTTCCTAATCCACTAAAACAATTTTGATGCAAGATACAAAAAAGTTTGAACAAGGCAATATAATCGCAGAGACACAGAATATTCTCAGTTGGAAGGGACCCAACAGGACAATAGAGAGAATGGCCTGTACAAGATTGAACCCACAACCACGGTGTTATTAGCACAATGCTCTAACCAGACTGAGCTAATCAGGGTCCAAACTAAACCACATTTATTCCCTTTTGACAATCTTTTCACTGAAGACTAAAACTTTTAAAACTTTTTTTTAGATCAGAGACCACTTCCAAGTACTTCTCAGAAAACACTGGGTTGATACATAGTCTAGGCCAGCAAATCTGATCTAAATTTCTACTTGGAGAAACAGGAAAGCTGGGCATTCCTGTTCCACAGGGAAAAAGACTACCTAGCCACAGACCCTGCTGGAAAAGGCTCATGAAGCGCAGAGCTTGTGATTTTGCAACTTCTTACCCTCTAGGATCCAGGTATGTGATACGGTCATGCCAAGGACAGTATCTAGAAAACAAAAAAGATGAAGGAATGGAGCTCTGGAGAACATAAAGGTCCGAAGGCTTCTTGATGTAACAGGTACATTTCTTGCAGAACAATGATGGGAGACAGCAAAGGTCAGCTCAGCTGCACTGGACTTGGCCAACAACTTGAACTAGTGAGGGAAGCTGGAGCTGTGCTGGACCAGCATTTCTAAAACGGCAGAGGAACTCTGTAGCCATTAAGACCATATTGTGAGGAAAAGCAAGGAAGTCAGTGTTATGGGCATGTGTGGATATATGGCTCAATTATGTTTATAACACTGAAAAATGTGATGGTGAAATATAAAAACCCCTGAAACATTAATCTTAGAACTGTGAGATTAATTTATCTGTACACACTAACCACACTTGTTTCAATATGTGCCTCCATATCATAGATGCCCAGAAAAATTTCTGATGACTTTGAGAAGGATCATTCACATTCATAAGGAGTTGGAATGTCCTGTGGCCTTTTAGGAGTGTGCTTTTAGCTGGTAATTCTACAACTATCCAGCTGCTCTTTCTCACAGTGGTAAAAGGAAGTGTAACAGTTCTGTCCAATTTGCAGTGACATGAAACAACATGACTCAAGTGGCTCTTCACAAGGCATTTCCATTACCTAACCTCATTGCTGTCTAAGATTAAAAAGGAGATTAATCTTACTTTTCAAATAGTTCAGTGTAAATTAAAGACTTGGAAAAAATCCTAATGTGAGCAACTGCAATCTTCTACGTGATTCTGTCTGAACCACTGGAAACTGTGATTTTATTTCATGGAAAACTAACCAAAACAAACACTTTTTGTTTTGTAACCTTTCTAATTCAATACAGTTCTGAAAACTATCATATTCCTGGAAAGCAAACCAAGTGGAATTTTCTCATTTAATAAAATTTGTTTGTCCTCTACTTGGATGCAAGCACAATATTATAAATAATGTCATTAATACTTTTAAAACTCTTTCCAATGAAAGAAAAATTCTGGTTGGAGACACTGATTCCATGCAGAAATAACTAATCTCTAATATGAAATTTATTCCTTTATCACCAGAAACCTAGATCTGAAGTTTCTCTATTCATCTCACCCCATATTTGCAGTTCATTTGTACCCATTCTCTTGGCTTTATTCATCCATCTGAGAATAAAACCTTCATATTTGTAACAGAAAAAGCAGTATCATAATTTAAGCTTCAGCATAAATGAAGTATGGAAACACATTTTTATATACTAAACACTTGACTAATAAACATTATTGTACATCTGCTTTCTGTTCCTAGCATGGATAATTATCAAAGTGTGAGAACCACAGGCAAGGAGATGCAAAAAAGCATGTGGTCAACTTAGGCTTTTCATTCAGAATTCCTTAAGCAAGGAAACTTGTGTCTTCCTTAAGATAAAGCATCAGTTTTGAAAAGGTGAAAATCATGTTGTTAATTTAAATAATGAAAAACATGCTTCATCTATACAAGTGCACTTATTCCCATACTTGGAATTACGTAGAATAACAGCACAAAAACTTCGACAATTTTCTTTTTCTTGTAAACATTCTTATCTTGAATGTGAACTCTGTTTCGCTGGACTCTCCTGCTTTGAACAAAAATTGTCCCAGTATGCAGAATCCTCAGGTGCAACTGGAATACCAGATGCAACTAAATCTTCAAAAGTCAGTAATGTAAACTGTGGTGGGTTAGGCTCCGTGGAACATACCTAAAGGAAACACATATTAGCATAGCACAAATCAGTAAGTATCAATTTTCTTCCTGTAAAATTCTCTGTCCAGTTTAAACTACACATTGCTTACTGAAGAAGAAAGGAATTTGAGACCAGTGTCACTGCCTCTAATTTAGGCTACACATTAACTAATAGAAGCATTTGACAGGCCACACAGAAAAATCAAGTTTTCCCTTGAAACACAGTTTACAAACTGACAGAACAAGGGCTATAGAATGCTGTAAGTATGACAGAATGCGTGCTTAAGTAAAAGAAAGACAAACATCACCATCAAATAAACTGTACTTCATTCTCCAGCAGATATGATTATTTGAGACAATTACGTGAGGATTTATTCCACTAGAGGTGTGCCTATTCATAGTCTTTTTAATACCAGGAATCCTCTTGGTTGTGCATGCTTCTCTCAAACTCAAACACTACTTAAGAACTAAAGCTATCACAACCAACCCACAATTCCCCATGTTAAATCCACATTAAATGCAGACTGAGATACTGGAGATGAGAGTGTCATGGTCTCCATGCTACATTCATACCTCTGAGAAAAATCATATTTCAAAGAAAAAAAGATTTGTTGGTTGTTTTTTTTTTGAGCACATGTTACTGTGCAGCCTGTTGTATATGCCTTCTCCAAGTGTTGTTCCCAGACAGCAGGGCAAATAGTACAGCTTGCATGAATCCAACATAAATACAGCTGATTCTTCTAAACTGGCATTTGCTCGAACAACATATTCTTAATGTTTAATATCTGATAAAGTTCAGCAGGGCTCCTCTGCAGTGGGGATACTCTGTACATCACATAAACTGACTCATGTCTGATCAGACTAAGCCTACCCAAGTTCCTCTGGTGTGGCAGCATGACCCACTATCAGCCACTCCTCCCAGTTTGGTGTCACCAGCAAACCTGCTGAGGATGCACCACAGCACCATTATCCAGTTTCATTAATGAAGATGTTTAACGGGACTGGACCCAGTTTTGATCACTGGAGTACATCATTAGTTACTGGCCTCCAACCACACCTTGTACCACTATCACCACACTCTGGTCCAAAATGTTCAGCCCCTTTTCAATACATCTGCTCATCCAGTACATGCATCAACATTTCCAGGATCTTCTGAGAGAGAGTGGCAGAGGTAGAAAGTACTGAAATACAGGTAGACAAGATCTACTGCCCTCTCCTCACCTACCAGGTTGGTCATTTCATGGTAGAAGTTTACTAATCATGACTTTCTCCTGGTGAAGCTATGCTGACCAGTCCTGACAATTTCTTTGTCCTTGCTGTGTCTGGAAATGCTTTCCAGAATCAGCTGCTCTGTCACCTCTCCAGAGATGATACTTTATTCCTCATACTGTGTGGACTTACAGGCACTGTAAAGGTACCCCAGCACATTTTGTTCCTGGAGAAAGGCTGGGGAATTTGCTCATAATTGTACTGTATAGGCTCTTTCTTGCTTACGTACCAGTGCTGGAGATGAGCCCATCTAAGGTCTATTTTGAGGATTTTGTTGCCCCTTCCTGTCACATCAATGAACGTGGGTCAGTAAAAGTGTTTGAGCAGTAAGCTACTGTTAGGAATACATGCAGAGACAACAACATGGGTTTTGCTTGTTGTAACAGCACAGAAAAACCTTAAGTTGTCAATACAGACTGAAACCAGAAGTTATTGAGCTGGCTGTCAATTTTTGTCCTTACACAAAGGACACAGTGTTGAGACACTCCTGTTCATCTGACATTTTGGAGATGAGGTAAAGCTGCAGGAACTGTGCCTAGAGCCATGCAAGTGACATCATAGACGCATACCAAACATGAACAGATCTAGTTTGAACTTCAGCACATGCTTGTCTGAAGGCAAGTGTGTTCTGACTGAATTAATCTCAAGTCTTATGAAATTTAGCAAGTGACAGACAAAAAGATATTTTATAGCCTATATAGGAATTATAAAGAATTATAAACTCAGACCTCTTTCATTGAAATTTGCCAGAGATAACTGTCTAGATCTTGAAAAGAGTGCAGACACATGTTCTGTTTAAAGCATATAGCAGTCACTAGCAGACACTTTGTAAAGATTCTTGGAACTAGAGATTTTTAACTGGATTTTAATTGGATTTTACAGACCAGTGTAAAAACTGGTCTTTCCTGTGGATTGTAGGTACTTGCTATCACTCCAGGAAGAAAGCTGAAAGTATATGTTCTGCAAACAGGACATAATGAATTACTCCTGTGACTGCAGAGAGGGAACAGACTCAAACACTGACATCCTGGAACAATTGCTCATATTTAACAAGGATGAACAACTTTTTCTCTCAACACATCTAGCAAGACATTTAAAACAAAATCATTTTTACAGTTCTGTTACAGAGAGAAGGTAATTTTAATTTTCTCCATGTTCCTGTTAGAAGGAGGTCTAAAAAGGTACAGTGCAACAGTATATAAATTTTCACTTAATTTCCATACTGGGGAGTCACAGGATGCTCACTTGTCCTGCTTAAAATGACCTTTTTTCAGTGATTTGAGATAATGGAATTCAGGTCATCACAAATTTATTCAGTGGACAAGTATGCCTTTGAGATTTCTCTTGATTCAATGATTTTTCATCATAACTCTTGATATCATTACTATTCTTCCTATGATAACTTCAAGGTATGTGACAGTGGTGTGGAAGGTCAATACTTAAAAATCCTGGATTTTTGCAGTATACTTAGGTAGCTGTCTTTATAAATAATGGTCACCTTCTTTTCACCTCAGATTGATAATTATCAGCATTCCTGTCAGAAGAATGATATGCCATCCCACTGGGAACTTAAGTATGTCCTGTCTAACAGAATGAACATATTTTCTTAAAAAAGTATTTGTACACTGATTCAACACAGAAAATTCCCAAAGGCAGTTTATCTCTTTTTCTCTTTTTAATCTAACCCATACTAGTTAAAAGGTCTGCCTCTCTGTGTTATTCATGAACACAGACAGACTTTTTTACCATGACAGATGTGTGCATTACCACTTTTATGCTTTTATCCATTCCTACACTTTTTTTTCCTAGTTCCTGGGAGAACCTTTGTATTTAAATAACAGAAAACAACTAACCCATTTTCTTATGAGGAACTAGAACACCACAGAAAAATCTGGCAATTTGTCACACTCTCCTTTTCTGATTGTCTCCTATTTCAGCTACAACTTGCCAGTCTGCCTCTCCCTTAAATTTGACTTTTATTGCCATTTTATGACCGAGATCTTTGTTACATTGCACAGAAAATCCTGAAAAGCTTTAAAGTAGCTTTGTTCCTTCTCTCAATAGACACCACATGGAATGAAGACTAACACTGCTGTTCTTCCCATCTGTTGGTTGTTGTTGCTTTTCTCAAGGGTTATCTTGTCATAACGGTGTTTGAATGATGGATCTGCTCAGGGATACACGCACTGACAGTCCCCCATTAAAATCAACTTGGTGAGGTGTCGTACAAGTTTAGCAAGTCCAGATTGGTTCACTGTCTCCATTTCCCTCTGTGAAAACCATCTTTCCCACATGAGTACTAGCAGGCTGTGACAAAAATCACTTAATCTTCTCCTGAATGAACACACTGATCACGGTAACACATGCATTCCAGATTTGACATTATCTGTTGCTGTCCTCTGAAAGCATTTCTCCTTCCAAGACCTCTCCTGAAATAGACACAACAGAGCTGGAGGAAACAGTTCAAGTAATACTGTTTGGTTCTGGTTAAAACAGTGCTTAAAATAAGTTTTTTCCTTGGCCTTAAATCTGAGATAACACATTTTTAGCTACAGCATAAGAATAAGTTTATGTTCAGACGACTACTAAGACCTGAAACTGTTTCATAATTTCTTACATCAGAATCCTTTTGCACAAATCCCGCCTGTTTCCCGAGCGCCACTGCAACATGATGATGGTCATCTAACCGGGTTTCCTAGATAAGATGAAAAATGGCAATGTAAATGCATTTTCTTTACTCTGTTTTCAGCAAAGACTATATAAATGTTTAGAATATAGTTCAGAACAATAGCAGACCATAATTTAAAATACTTTAAAACAATAATGGGGGTTTTTTAGTAGTTTTTAGCAGTTTTGTTGGAGAGCTCAACGATGCAAACACATTAAAAAGTCAGCAGGGCTGAACTGATTACTATAAGTTATCGTCACCTCACCCATTTGTAGATACTTATATTCAAGTTGGTGACCTGAGCATTCCTTTACTAGTCCCTTCTAAGTCACAAACCATATAACCCATCTTAGCTATCCACTTTCTAGTGAGATGAACTGAACTTCTGGAAGGTACTCTGAAAAACAACGATTTAAGTGTAAACTTAAACCAATGACTCTCTTACTCTTGGGTTCAGATAGCAGGTAAGAGCACAACTTTAAATTCCCTACACACAATCAGAGCACTGCTATGTGTAAATACAAATCAATTTTTCTCAACATTCTTAGGTACCTAACTATGTATTTAGTGACAGAGCTTTTACCTATTTAATAGTTTCATTTGAAAGTGTTTTCCTCTACAAAGGCTAAGAATTCATCCTAAACAAATAAGGGGAGAAAATAAAATTTTCCTTGCTCTTTCATCCAAAAGTTTTCAAACAATTTCTGCACAGACTTTCTAAAACAGAAATCAAGAATAACAAGAATTTTAAATAGAAAACAATGATTTAGATATTGCCATTAATCTGAAAACCAGCTAGTCATTGAAATATTCTCCTGGGAGGTAAGACTGAATCTCCAGTTTTGGCTTCCTTGGGAAACATAATATAAAGTAAACATCATGATGTCCTTTTATTTCCTCTGACAGGTTGTTGGTTGTCTTGGGGTTTTTTTCCACTTTTAATCTAAGTAAAATGTCTTTTAAAACAATGGTGTCAGTCTGCATTAGGCTTCTATACAGTTCATCTACTACACAGAATTTTCAAATATTTCAGTTGCCAGGATACCATTTCTGTGATTCCCAAACAGCCCTATATATATAAAAAAAGTGCCAAGATACTCAGCTCAAACCTACGCAGCCCAGCTCAGCCAAGACAGCAGCTGCTCCAGGCATGTGTAGCAGCAGTACAGCTGCAGTGTTGGGGGACTGTTCTGGCAAACGTGGGTGCCTTGGCAGAGAGGTGCTGGTGAGCAAGTAGAGCTGTGTTTTTAGTTTGATCTCTTCAGCACCAAAACTGTGCCTATTCGACAGCTTTAGCAGTGAACTTTTTAACCCTCACCCACTTAAACACATGTGATGGTTTTGGTCTAGGCCTTCCTGGTGACCAGTTTGTAACCAAGGAAGTGGCCATGTACCCAGTATTCCATACGATTTTTACGTAAGTCAGAGTATAAATAAGGTGAAGATTAGAGACCTCGCTCTCTTCTCTTCCAGCGAAGTTCAGGAGCAGTAGGTATCACGTTGGTCTCGCTTATCTAAGGCTGAGGCCTGCAGCATCCACTGTCCTGCCATGTGGAGGTTCAGGGAGTGCTGGCCATGTCTGCCAATCCTGCTTTTCTAAGGGACGTGGTGAGATCTGTTTTGCTAGTTATTAGTATGTTCTTGAGTTTGATCGCGTATACCTGTTCTGTGTCCCCTTTTGTCCCTTTTTCCCCTTTCCCTATCCCTTCGGGGGGTGTTTGGATTCTCTTTTACTGTGTACATATCATCTTAATTATATATAACTGTAATATACGTAAATATTTATATTTTTATAGAAGTTTGGTTTCTTTAATTTTTATAATATCTTTTTTTCCTTTACCCTAAGGGAAGAAGGGAGGAAGGAAGGGGGCTGCTGCTGTGACTTTTGGGCATTTGGCAGGGAGCCAGGTCCAAATTATCACAACACAAAACATCAAGCTCATGTTGTTTTACCTTCCTGCAAAGTACTAGTAAGAAAATGACTATTTTAATTCTGTCTAGATTAGAAAAAATATTTAGTGATCATAAGAAACACTAACAAACCTACAGCATAAGCAGTATTTTCCATGACTGCAAGAGCTACAGATGTATTTACTGTGAAGTATTTTACTGGGTTTTCCGTCCCTTTACTAGGGTACAAAACTGAAAATAAAAGAATGAAAATAAAGAATGCTACCGTGGAGGTTTGATGAAATATAACCATTTGTACACAGTGTGCGCATTTCTATAACTTCATCAAAAATATAAAAGACTATGAAAATCAGATGCTCGATCAGGTGTTGCTAAATCATTTATATAGTTCTAGAGTGGTAGTGTTTTGTGTTTGTCTAGATGTAAAAATCACTACATTGAAGTTTTTTATCACTTAATTTCCCCCTTCTTTCAAACACTGTTTTCCTTTTTTTCTTGTTCAAGAGGTTAAAACCAGATTGGAACAGAGGACACAGTACAGCTCATTCAGCACTGCTTACTACACCTGTAGTCAGAGGTCTGCAAACAACTGTGTTATGGCTTTAAGTTAAACACATTGAATTTTCCTTTTATGAAGTCAACTAATGTATTACTTATTGTTTGAGCAAATAAAAACATATTATAGATAGTATTTTAAACACCATTAATAATGTTTTCTCAGTTCAAAGCTGTGTTTAACAGACAGTGACTCTTTAGACAGACCATTCCCTGAAGAGACCCTGCTCAACGAACAGTGAATTTAAAATGTTCCAGCTCATTTATTTCCTATCTTCTCTGTAGTCACAAAAGAATTTTCAGCATCTTGCAATAAAACATAGTAAACTATGTCCTTCATCTATCTTTGTTGTTTCAGAGAAACGTAAATCCAAATGAAATTGGAAGATCTTTCCTGGCTCCTACTAGTGGCCAGCAAAAACCTTAAGCTACAGAGTTAATGAAACATACTGAAACAGCAGATCAACTTGCCTCCCTGGAGATATTGCTCTACCAGCTTGTAAAATTAATATCTTAAAGGGAAATAGATGAGAAAACAAAAAGAGGACAATCGTACAGAATTCCTTTGAGGTAGAGAGTTCATTTTGTTAAGATTCCTCTCTATAAACCAGAAAACATATAATGGAGGAAAATTGTTCTCTGCAAAGAACAGAAGTGTTACTAGAACTGTTCAAGCTACAAGCAAACTGAGACTTATAATGATATCATTTCAAAGACTTGGCGGAATGATGTGTCTGGGATTCAAATCATTATGAATTCACTCAACAACAGACAGCTTATGAGGAAACTGTACCTTCCCAGACAGCAGAATTGATAGCTGCGTGAATCAAGTCAGATTAGCTAGTCTTATAAATAAAACTTTCTATTCCTATTTATTCCTGATAATGCAACAGGATTAATTTCTCTTACCAAAGGTGAAAGATGTCAACTACAGTTGCACACCAGCAATTACTAAATACGTTTCAAATTGACCCAGGTAATCTTTGAAATTCATGTTATGGAAGTAAAGTATTTGCATATAAACAAACCAAGAAAATATTTGTTGTGAAAAAATGCAAACAATTATTTGTGCAGCAGCAGTGATGCCAAATGTCTCTTAATCCCAGAGCAACGTTTATGATAAATTGTGTGCTTCCTTTATAAGGTAGTTGTATACAGAATTGAGGTAGGTACCACAACAGAAATGTCGTGTACCTCATTTAAGATTCTTCTTCAATATAGATCCCAGAACATGCTCTCCAGCCATTCTTCCTTAAAAACTGTACACAGTCACAAATACATTTAATATTTGCAAACCAATAATTTGGATTTTTTTTTTTTCAAAGAATGGGTTACATTGGAAGGGACCTTAAAGATCATCTTGCTCCAACACCCATGCCATGGGTAGGAACACCTTCCACTGATGAAGTTGCTCAGGGTCCCATCCAATCTGGCCTTGAACACTTCAGGGATGGGACATCCATAGCTCCTCTGGGCAACCTACTCCTGTGCCAATATCTGTTTCCACATACAAAACACATATATATACAAAATAAACTTATGTTTATGTCTTTAAATTATAAAGCTTCTCATAATTGTTTTCAATGAACTTCTTTCACTCTTACTGAAATTAACTACTACTTCATTCTTCTTGTGGTTTAACCTAGCAAGCAGCTAACACCACAGAGCCTCCTCACTGGCAGAGCATTATGAGGAACTAAAGAGTTCTTGACTTAGTGTTTCAGTGTGTTATCAACACTGTTCTCATCCTAAATTCAAAACACAGTTTTATGCTGGCTACTAGGAAGAAAATTAATTCTACCTGAGATGAAACAAGGACAATTCTCCAAGTTTATTTTTTTCAGAGGAAGTAAATGGAGCATACAGAATTACCCATAATAATCATCATCATCATAATGACTCCATCCTAAATTAACACTCTGACACAAATATTGTTATCACTCTTCACTGGGTTAGTTATCTTTTAATTATTGCTAAACAAATTCACCTTTTTAAAATGAGGAAAGCATACACTATCTATATGATTAAAGCATATTTAATACACATAGTAGACATATCTCAAAATTAAATTGATGTTTTAAAATGAAATTTTACAGTATTTTTTCTCCTACTCCTTCCGAAGCAGTTGAAGGGAATCTGAGTAGCAATCTCTAGAGTACTATATGAAAACAAGTGCCTAAAGCTAAATCATTCCATCAAGATCAAACAAGAAGAGGCTGTTTCTGAGCTACTACCTTCCATCCAAGCTCAAAAATATATGAGCAGTGGAGGGTAAAGACACTTAGAGCAAAACTAAACCTGTGGTAAAGGGCCCACAAACAGTCAACTATATAACAAAGTAGTTGGTTTGGACTCACAATAAAGTAATTTTTTTTTTAAAATGTTCACAGAAAATTCTATCTCAAATATGGTTTGGCTTTGCTCTGACTGTGAACAGTGACAGGGTGTCTGAACAGTGTCAACTTTGATTTGGTCTGATTCATTAGTATTTCTCTTGACCTTTTAGGCATGACAAGTATAAGGTGGTGGATCTTTTTCTAGTCTTTATGCATTTAAGTTGTCTTTTTCACATTACATGGCACTTACTGAAGGAGATTTCAGAATATTTTGTGTAATTTAAATGGATAAAATACCCTTTGTTTCTCTCTTCCGTTTTTGGTAAATTAGGTTGTTTAAAACTGAAATGAGGCAATCCAAAACACTGGAAAATTTTAATTTTAAACAGTGTCTAGCTCTCTTTGATCATCTCCTATCATAAAGATATAGGCAGATCTGACAAGCAAAACTGATACCATTTTTCTTTTTCTTTATTTGATAGAAAAGCTTCCTCAAACTCAATAGGGAACCCAATGAAAATACTGTATCAGTAATATGTAATCTTACAGGTAATTTTAATGTCTGCTCCTGGGTGACTCTCAGATTTCTCAAAACTTAGTGTTTTCGATTAACAAGTTATTTCAAGAACCTGGCCCAAGGCCAAATAGTGAATCAAGAAAAGGACTTTTCTGAGTAGGAAAATGGACACAACATTAAAAGAAACTTGAGAAAAGACAAAAAAGTAAAGCAATGCTTAATTTTAGGCTGGGGATTGGTAACTGAATTTTCTTCATTTCATTTTAATAAATGTTGATATTTAAATAAAATCATATCCAAATTGAGCTTGTATTTAAATGAAACTTGATATTAAACCCTTCTTTGAAATACTAGAATTTGCCTCATTATAAGCCTTCGCTGTTGGAAGCAGGAAGACAAATGTGGAAGTGGAGACATTCCTCAGACAAAAATTACATGAATCTTCCAGCAGTAATTACTAAGTAATAATGAAAAATGAAATAATTAGAAAGCATTTAAGTATTACAGGGAACTATCTACATCATCATCATGCTATTTTAGTCAATCAAGCATAGGCATGTCGTCAAAGACCAAAATTAGGAGTTCCAGAAATCAATCTAAAGAGCTACACCACAATAGTACAGAAAGCATTCTAGTACAAGATGAGTCACAGTCTTTTCCAAGATTTTCTTTTCCCAGTGTGTAATTCCAGCCAGTGAATTTCATGATATACTGAGATTGCCGAACTATATAGAAATTGAGTAAGAAGGTTGATTTAATATGGATAGACTTGTAAAATAATGCAAAACCAAAAGTGGATTGGAATTGCTGAATGGAATGAACTGTGAAGAGATAAACTCGTAGTACAAGTTAAACATTACTAGTTCATTCATTCTTTTATACCACATGCACAGGACACATGTAATTTGTATACTAAACAAAACAAGCACATAGCAGAAATCTATTATTTAGACAGCTCTACTGAAACAGTTGTCTCCAACAGCCCAGATATTTTCAAAATGTAAATGTGTATTTGAAACTCAATATGCTTGCTCAAAAGTGGACTTTGTTTTTTTACATTTCTTCCTTTAAGTGGTTAAATGAACATGCCTCTGAGGTGTAGAGAAATGGCATTGTGATTTGTTTTTAAAGCTCAGTTTCTTGGGGTAATTAAATAATTTGAGATCATTGCATAGATTCAGAATCATTTAGGCTGGAAAACACCTTTAAGATCAGCAAATCCAACTGCTAACCCACCACTGCCAGGTACACCACTAAACTATGTCCCCATCAGTTGTTTCTCTATATATCCTTTAAACTTTTAAATGATACCAGTAATTTCCTATCAAATCTAACAGGATAGATGTTTTAGTGATAAGCCTCAATAACCTTGAAGAAGGAAAACAAAAGCCCAAACCCCAACGCTCAGATAGAAGATTGAGCCCAAACTGATGCTCCAGTTAAGCAAAAGCAAGTTTTTTCATCTATCCACTCCCACAGACAGCAGCCATTTCAAACTCACAAAAACACATATTTTTGTATGGACAAGAAGTAAGAGCCCAATGGAACTGAAGACACCTCCTCCATTTCAAACATCTAACCTAAACACTAATGGAGTTGCTTAATCACTAAGCCTATTCTAGACCAACTGATGAAGACCTTTAAAGTCTTAGACACTGTTTAAGAAGACAGGTCTAAATATATTTCAGTGAACTTCCTGCACACCCTAGGATGAATTCCATAGAGTGCAAGAGACATATTCCAGGAAAAGAAAAAATAAAAAGCCATTATAATGAATATATCCATGGGGTGTTTTTGCAATCATTAAAAATACCTTAAATTGCTGCAGTTTTATAACCTAAATTTTGACTGATATATGCTCACTGGTTTTATACAGAGTAAAGGTGTGAAGTGGCAATTAAAAAAAAATCAAATATGCAATGCAAACATAGGGAGTCAAGACTGTTTATCCTTAGTGAAAAAGTATTCCTTACCTCAAATGTCCACTCCTCTTCTTTTTCTCCATCCAGAAGCATTTTTGTCTCCTTATACACCTTCCCTATTTCCAGTTGCAACGGGGACACATTAAACTCAATCCTTTGCAAGTTAAAGCCAATTCCAACTCCAATGGCCTTTAAGAAGCTTTCCTTTAAGGCCTAAAAGACACAATAAGTGTACTTTATTCATACTGTTTTCAAACTGTTCTAAAAACATTACTTCTGACTACAAATTGTAGACAATATAAATTTAAGACTTATACTACTCTAAATGTGAGGGTAGGCTGATGCAATTATCAAGGGAAAAAGTTATCAGCATTGTTAATACCCAGCCTAACTTTCTGAATTAAAATAAACATGAAACTGGAATTACCCAGTGGCACAAATAGATATGAACCCTCTACCTTCTTCTAGCTATGTGTTTAAAAGTAGTAATAAAACCTAGAAATGTCAGCTGTCAAAGTTATTCTGATATTAAAAAAAATCATTAAAATATCAAAATTATTTTTATCTTCACATGAAATGGTATCAGGTGGCACCAGGAGATTTAGATTGGATATGAGCAAAACCTTCTTCCCTGAAGAGGCTTTGAAGCATAGGAACAGGATGCCCAGAGAAGTGGTTGAGTCATCATCCCTGGAGTTCTCCAAAAGATGGGTAGAGGTGGTGCATAGGGACATGATTTAGCACTGGATTTGATGATCTTAGACATCTTTTCCAACCTAAACCATTCTATGATTCTATGCAACTATAAAAAGTAACATTATTACTATGATGAAAATAATAAGTTACATCAAAAAATAATGTGCATGTTTGAAGAGTATAAATAGGGAAAAAAGTATTACCCAGTGCCGATAAAACATATCCAGCTGCATCCATTCATTACTCATAGACTTGATTACATCCCACTCTGTCTCAGTAAACTGTCGCTTCATGATGTGAAAGAAATTTGGAATGGAGCTACTACCTATAAATTAGACAGAAATATTTACAGAAATTTTAATAGAGTAGCAATAATAAGCAAATGGATTATCTCATGTTATTTCACCAGAAAAAAACTCATAAGAAAAAAAATTTATGAACCAACTCTGCTCTACAACTTGAATTTATACAGCCTCAAAGCAGCGAGCTGATGATTTTTCAGGACACAGTATGAAAAAAACACATTTAAATAGCAGAATTGCTGTATTAAAAATGTGAAATTATGTATTTCCAGGATTCTCTAAAAAGCAAAGTATTTAACCAGTGCTGATTTTACATATACATAAATATATTATATTAGCTACAAAAGTAGTATATACAGTCTCTGGCATCTGACAGCTTGGTCTAGTAACATTTTAAAAAACAGCATGTTTGTCAAAATTCATCAATTCTGCCTCCTGCTCTAGGATGCTGTGATGCAAAAGAAACCCTTTTTTAAGCACTTGTTGAATATAGTCTCCCAAAGTTATCACACACATATTAAGCCTTTTGGATTGAATTTATTCTGCAAGGAAAATGGGGGTGGAGAGGTGCCCATAATAACAGTAAGATATATACCAAGGAAAAAGAAAAATCCCCCCCAAAAAAAACCAACCTCAAATCACTAAACCTTCAAATCCTTAGATTAAATTTAAGCTTCCTCAGGGGCTATATCAGTTTTCCCCACCAGTCTGAATTTACTTTGTAGAAGACACTACAGATTGTGTGGTTATGTTGATCAATGGCACTTCTATAATACACTGGAAGCTACAGACCTCATTACATGCTTGGCTGCTCACCCAAGAGCCTATATTAATTAGCATACCATGGAATCTGTCCAGTTTGGCTTACTGCTGGCTAAAGAGACAATGGCAGAAAACAGTCTATTTTCTTTAGTAGGGATAATAAAAGTCTGGATAGAGGCAGTTCCTATTATTGCATAACCAATTATTGCATCAAAAAATTTGTTTCAATTTTCTTATTAAAAATAAAATATTAGTCATATTTAATCTAACAAACAGCCAGCCCTCCTAATACCACACTAGTTTTAGGAACCCATCACCAGATAATGGCTTAACAAAGATGTAGATTCTAATCACACCTGGGCCAGTAATTCTGTGAGTTGACTATTAGCAAGGAACTTTTTTTCCCTTCACTAATGTTTGCTATCTTAAACCAAGGATAAGTGTATTAACCCTTCTCTATAAAGTGGTTGTCTTCTATAGATATCTAAGCACTAAATAAAAACAGGTATTGACAGCAGGAATAATTGATCTGAACAGACTAATTTCACACTAAAGCACACATTCAGGTTTTCTCAATTTCCAAATCACACCATAAAGTGTTACCTGACAAAGACATTACACAAGAAATAGCAGTGACATTTCAGAGATGCCCTCAATTGCATTTATAAAGTGAAGAAAACATCTTAAACCTGAAATTTTGTTGACAGTTGCAGTAGCCAGCTAATGGAATGATCCAGAACAATCTATGGACAAAACTATCTTTTCTCTCTGGAGAGAGAAAAGCAACCACAATGTTAAGTATGCTTTGATGAATTACCAAGACAAATGCCATATCCATCTACTTACACAATCCCACTTCCATGAAACAGTGAAAAACCACAAAAAAAAATTGTTGAACTTGGAGAAAGGTATTTTCTTTCATCTCTCTGCATTTATATGACCCATTTTAGAATCAACTGTGTTAATATCTGCTCCAAACAATCCATTTTTTTCTATTATTTTCTGGAGTATTTAAGACAACCGTGGTAAGGCTCCAGCCTCTTCTCGTGATTCAAACTATAAAACATTCCAGAATATCCTGATGCACCCTTCCTCCGTCATCACTTTCAGAGAGCTCTCCTGCTTTCAATAGTCCAGGGCTACTCACACCACCAGAGAAAACCATCCAAGACTATCCATAGTACCTTCAGCACCTAGAGGCATATAAAGGCTCCTGCATCATCAGTCCTGCCATCTAAACTTTATCACACAAGGTGAATACATTTGGATTTGAACTGTTTAGTACACTAAGTGTATATCAAACCCATATGCTACTGATATGGGTTATTTCCTTTTTTTTTTTAAATATTTCTTTAATTGTTCATCTATGCTTCTTGACACTTCTGTTCAGACTTACATAGAACTTTCCCATCCACTCCAGCCGTTTGTCACATTCTTCCTCTGAAAACCTCAGGCACCACTTTGTCCTTAAGTGCCCTCCCCTCCTGTCTCCTTATTGTAGTACAGTTGCTTTGCTCTGAGGAATGGATCAGGTTAGAGGACCTAGGACTACTATTCTCCATAAATTACTAGCAGTACCACAGCCTGCCTAGTCCACTTCCCCATCTTTGCTTCAGCATCAGAGGAAGATTCACAGAATCTTGAGGAAAATTTAGGTTGAAAAAGACCTTTGGAGATCACCTGGTCCAACCTTCTGTTGGAAACCAGAGCCTTATGCTGGGTTACCCAGGGCCTTGTCAAGCAGAGTATTTCACCCCTTCTCTGGGGAACTTAGTCCAGTGTTTTACTGTTCTCATGATGAAGAACTGTTCTACAGAGACGCAATTCCCCCTGAATCAACCTGGGGCTGTTGCCTTTTGCTCTGTTACTGTTCATGCTCATGAAGAACCCTGTGTAAATCATCTTTACAGTTACCTTTCAGGTATACTGTGATTAGATTCCCCTCCTCAGGACTTTCACCTCTTCAGGTCAAACAAACACAGCTCCACCAGCATTTTTACATAGGTCAAGTCTCCAACCCTCTAATCACCTTGATGGTTCCTTCACTAAATTCCCCTCAATTTTACCATGTCTCCCATGACCTGGCAGGTATGAAGGAGACAAAACTAAACAGTAGAAAGTTTCCTTTCAAATGCTAGCTATTTTGCTTCTAGTTTGATTAAAAAAACCAAAAAACAAAACACACAAAAAACACCAACAAACAAACCAACCTTCTCAAATGTACTTGCCACAGTTTACAAAAACTTTCTTTCAAAGAATGGGAACAACTCCCATACAGCAATTATTCATTTGGTTTTAAATTTTTATATCCAAAGTACCTCCTATTTGTCAACTTGTTTCAGAAATAAACTCACATCTTAAATAAATACTTCTTACTTACCCATGCCAAGAAACAGAACTCTTCAAAATCTACATAGCTTCTTTCCAATACAAATTGAGAAACAAACTCTTTTAAATGCTGAGCAGAATTTTATTGCCCTTGCTGATTTTAAAACACATTTTCATTTGTATATGCTTTTATAATTCAATTCTTTTCTTACCTTCACACAAACTGTTGTGGATTCTTTTTATATTTGATTATAAGAGCTAGTATTCTAAAAGCACTTTTTCTAGTCTGCTGTAAACTTCACACTTCAGCCTGCGAGCTCTGAATACTGGAAGCAGTTTTTGCTTCTACATTGGATCACCTTGCTGAAGAGAACTCTAATAAATCTAACCAAAACATACTACAGTTTCCTTTCATAACATTCAATTAACCAATTTGTCCCAGTATCTAATTGCCTAAGAAATACAAACCTGTACTTTCTTTTGCATTAGACAAAACTGACTGGATGGTTTAGTTATTCAGTGGTCTAATTTTAAAAAGTACTTTTTCCCTGGAATGTTTTAGCACTGCCTCCTTCCCATAACACTCATTAACTAGCAAGTAAACATGCTATATACATATAGGTGAGCATGTTCATATGTGTGTATATGTGTGTGCATTTTGGATTTTTTGCAATAACTACTTACATTGCAATACATAATGTCATTTTTTCTACTGCAATGAGAACTGGGTATTTTATCAATTTTTTTAAAGACTAGGCAACAAAAATCTGCTTTTCATTTTCTCTTTAGAACAGCAAAACCTTAGATCAGATATAAAAGACTGATTTTAAAAACATGCAGGAGTGAAGAGTAACAAAACAAACTATGTTCTCTAGTCCTGTATACAAATGTGCTTTAGAAATAGTACATAAATACAGGGTAATTTCCTCCATTTTTCCACCTGCTAAAGAAGCCAAACAAGCTGCCTTTGTAGGAAGATACAAGACAACCAGAAATACGATCATTTAAATTATGATGCTATCAACAGCAAAGATTGCTATCCAGGTGGCTAATGCAGAAATCTTCATACTATTTTGTTTACACTGTTACAAACATCAGGTCAATCATAGGTCTGCTTTCATAATATAATGTACATTTAAAAGCAGGGTACAAACTTGTACCCAAAGTTATTAAAATCATGACACACCTTCTCAAAAATAGTGAGAAGAGTAGATGACTGATTGTCTTCAGTTTTTACCAGGTTTACAGTTTTCAAAGTGTTTGGGTCACAGTTGGTTCAAATTATTTGCGTCACAAACTATCTAGCTTATATTGTGGTCTATATCCTGCACTATGGAAATTCAGATCTAAAAGCTACCACTGCCAGCTCATTGATTCACTAACCCCCTTGAAAAACAAAGCAAACAAATAAAAACAAACCCAAACAAGCACTCAAACCAAAAATACAGTACCAACCCCCAGAACGTTAACAGGCTCCTCATTGCAGAGAAGAAATAGGTCAGTGATCAAGAACTAATATCTAATCAATACAAGTTTTACTTTCAGACGGCAAATAGGCAAAGTGGCAGTGTGACACATTCTACCTTGCAAAATGAAGAACTGAAGCATGAACAAATCAATCTACTTAATAACATGAAACACACAGGCTAGCTATGAATCTTGCAAAATAACAAACTGTATCAAATGAATGTTTCAAGCCCTGGACTCCTGGTCTGGCAATCCTTTTGGTGTAGACACAAGCCATATTTGATCATATTTTACTAATCTCTAAAGGAAACCAAAGTGAACTGATACAGAGAAAATATTTTTTTCTACAACAGATGCCCAAGCCCTAATTGTTTTTTGATACCAACTAACCCTTGTACAGGTGTTTAGAAACTGACAACAGAGGGCAAATAATTAAGAAGATAAATGACTAACTTAGAAGAACCAG